TCAATAAACAGTGACACATCGTCAACAAATAGTACCACATCGTCACTAAACAGTACCACATCGTAAATAAACAATACCACATCGTCAATAAACAGTGACACATCGTCAACAAATAGTACCACATCGTCAATAAACAGTACAACATCGTAAATAAACAGTACCACATCGTCAATAAACATTACCACATCGTAAATAAACAGTACCACATCGTCAATAAACGGTACCACATTGTCAATCAACAGTACCACATCCTCAATAAACAGTACCACATCGTCAACAAATAGTGAGACATCGTCAATAAACAGTGACATATCGTCAATAAACATTACCACAAACAGTACCACATCGTCAATAAACAGTACCACATCGTCATTAAACAGTACCACATCGTCAATAAACATTGACACATCGTCAATAAACAGTACCACATCGTCAATAAACAGTGACACATCGTCAATAAACAATAACACATCGTCAATAAACGGTAACACATCTTCAATAAACAGTACCACATCGTCAATAAACAGTGACGTTATCTGAACTTAACATAGAACATGGTCTGGAATAGCGAACCAACATCGTGTAAACTCCGAAATCAAACGATGCACAAACGTTACAACTAGAACCTCAATAATCTCATCATACTTACGTATTCTACAACGTAACATCTCAATAATCTCATCATACTGACGTATTCTACAACGTAACCTCTCAATAATCTCATCATACTGACGTTTTCTATCACGTAACATCTCAATAATCTCATCATACTGACGTATTCTACAACGTAACATCTCAATAATCTCATCATACTGACGTATTCTATAACGTAACATCTCAATAATCTCATCATACTGACGTATTCTATAACGTAACATCTCAATAATCTCATCATACTGACGTATTCTATAACGTAACATCTCAATAATCTCATCATACTGACGTATTCTATAACGTAACATCTCAATAATCTCATCATACTGACGTATTCTATAACGTAACATCTCAATAATCTCATCATACTGACGTATTCTATAACGTAACATCTCAATAATCTCATCATACTGACGTATTCTATAACGTAACATCTCAATAATCTCATCATACTGACGTATTCTATAACGTAACATCTCAATAATCTCATCATACTGACGTATTCTATAACGTAACATCTCAATAATCTCATCATACTGACGTATTCTATAACGTAACATCTCAATAATCTCATCATACTGACGTATTCTATAACGTAACATCTCAATAATCTCATCATACTGACGTATTCTATAACGTAACATCTCAATAATCTCATCATACTGACGTATTCTATAACGTAACATCTCAATAATCTCATCATACTGACGTATTCTATAACGTAACATCTCAATAATCTCATCATACTGACGTATTCTATAACGTAACATCTCAATAATCTCATCATACTGACGTATTCTATAACGTAACATCTCAATAATCTCATCATACTGACGTATTCTATAACGTAACATCTCAATAATCTCATCATACTGACGTATTCTATAACGTAACATCTCAATAATCTCATCATACTGACGTATTCTATAACGTAACATCTCAATAATCTCATCATACTGACGTATTCTATAACGTAACATCTCAATAATCTCATCATACTGACGTATTCTATAACGTAACATCTCAATAATCTCATCATACTGACGTATTCTATAACGTAACATCTCAATAATCTCATCATACTGACGTATTCTATAACGTAACATCTCAATAATCTCATCATACTGACGTATTCTATAACGTAACATCTCAATAATCTCATCATACTGACGTATTCTATAACGTAACATCTCAATAATCTCATCATACTGACGTATTCTATAACGTAACATCTCAATAATCTCATCATACTGACGTATTCTATAACGTAACATCTCAATAATCTCATCATACTGACGTATT